GCCTTAGGCACTGCACCACCAGAGCTCCTATTTTGGAAGCATGGGGGGGGGAAGCGGGGGGGGGGTTTATAAACAAACCAGTGCCCGACTTCCGTCCTGACTTCCATCCTACGGCAGTATGGGTCCCGAGGGCCAAGGCCCTGTGGGGGCTGACATGACCCCAGGGTAGACCAGTAGGGCTCTGAGGGCTGGCCCTCTGAGGGCAGAACCCGAGTTGGCTGGAAGAAGAGCAGGGTCCAGCTCACACTCTCAGCCCCTCGGCCACAAGTGCTCCTCACTGAGTGGCACAGGCACTGTGGGCCCTGGCCTCACCCAAAGCTTCACTGGAGACATGTCTACAGCTGGCCAAGAGGGAGGTGGGTAGTGTGTGACACATGGCTGAGCTCAGGTGCGTGACCCGCGTGTGCGAGAAACCCCTCAACGTGAAGACAGAGGCCGGCTGCTTTGGTAGCATTCCTTTTTATTTCTAAATAAATAAATAAATACCCAGTGTGGTACTCTCTTCCATTTCGGAAATCTCTGAAGAGTTCACAGCGATGACACTTCTGCATGACACTTCTGCAGCCGGCAAGACAGCTCAGGCCCCACCCATTTCCTACCGTCCCTCCCTGTCCCCAAGCAAAGCCCACAGCCAGGAGAGTAGCAAAGACTCCCTCAGGGACCAGGCCCCTCCCAGATGGCCAGCAGTTGACTTCCCACAGGTCCTTCAGACAAAAAGAGGTGCTTAAAAAAGTCTGTCAATTTTACAAAGAAAATCACCAAAAAGAAAACAAGGTTCTGATTAACCTCCAGGACGAATCAAGCTTTGCAGCTGAAAACATTCCGCCTTTGGTATAAGCCATGAACGTGGCACCAGCTGTTTGAGTCAGGAGCCTCCTTGGATGAAGCCAGTGCAGGACTGGAGGCTGTCCCCCAGGACATGACAGGCCTTGGGCGAGCACGGGCCACAGGGCTGATGGGTGGCTTCTTCTCCCTGGCCGCCAATCTGCATTTATGTGTGGCGACCCACTCCCACGCACACATAGCTTGGTCCCTTGCAGCGTCCGAGCTCACAAGGCAGGCGTGGAGATGACCAAGGTATGTTTACCCCTTTGGGATGGGGTCGCCAGGTGGGAGTGGGTGAGATGGTGTGGGGCAGAGGGGTGGGGGTGGGGAGCACAGATGTGCTGTCTTTAGTCACGTGGTACCTGTGACTGGTGGCCCATAACAGCTCTGAGCAAGGGTCAGAGCCTACATGGGGCGTGGCTGCTGCTGCTTTGCTTGGGACTCGGGGGTTTTCGTTTTGAACCCTGAACCCTGCCTGGGGCCCTGGATCCTGGGTTCCGGGTAGAACCTATCAGTGATACTGGTTGCTGCACCCACCCTGTCTCAGATTTGGTTTCCTCCCGCTCATCCAGCAGGGGGCACACTAGGGAGTGGCGGGTGGCCGCCTCCTTTTTTGCCTTGAGCCCTAATCAACAGCAGAGGGCTGCCCCAGCTTCCTCCTTGCACTTGAGTTGGGGACCAGTTCTGAGGCCAGGCCCCCACCAGGTCATGCTGTGCTGACCACCCACCACCCTGCCCCCACATGCACCCTCCCCACTTCCAGAGCAGAAGTGGGGTCCTAGCTGTAGCCACCTGCTGGAATTCCAAGCCTGAAGCCCCCATGGGCACGTGGATCTGGGACCCTCATGAGGCTGTGCCTTGCTGATGGCACATCTCACGTGGTTTAAAGTGAGGACCCCCACTCCCCCATCTTTCTGTATTTTACTATGTACAAAGAAATCTGCCACCTGCTGCCAAATCAGGGCTGACAAGGGCTGGGCCTGCCCCTCAGCTTCAGGCCGGCAGGGCCCGGGCAGCATCACTATTCTGTAAAGAGGTGACGGGTTTCCGGGGAGGAGAAGGATTCATTTCTGTCCTTGACTGAGTGTGTGTCAGACGATGAGACTGAGCCGCTCTCAGCCTGGCCCTGGCGCTTAGCTGGCCCACTGCAAACTCATCCCCTGGGGACCAGGGTGGGGGGAATCCGTTTCTATGCCCATGAGGCCTCACACCTTCAGGGTGTGGTTGACCCGAGGGGTCCTACAACCTATCAGGCTAGAAAAAGCACATGACTTATTCCAAGAAATGGTTCAAAATCGCAGGGCCTGCTGTGGAGGGGTGGGGTGGGGCTGCCACTGCAGGGAGACAGGCGTGTCTTCCAGGCTCACTGGCCCATGGGGCAGCATTTCCAAAGGCCACACACAGCCTTCATACCCATCAGCTCACACCACAGGGTTCCCTTTCTACCTGCTGCAATTCTCCTCTCCCATGGCCTAGACTTGACAGAAAAGAAACACATAGGAAGTTATGGCTAAAATGGATACTCTCGCACCTTCTGGGTATTAACTGCCCCCAAATAACAACTATTAGGTATGCAATTTTTGATTCGTAGTCAGATGTTTGAAAAAACCCACGAGAAAAACAGATCTCCGCGGCCTTTTCCTGAGAGAACCTTTTGCCTGCTACAAACGCAGACTGCCCAGGGCATGGGCATGCGATCCCGGGTTGCTGAACTCCTGCTCGGCCAGCAGGGGGCAGAAGAGGCTCACGGGAGAAGCAGGCAGGCACTGGTGCTTTCCAAGAGAGGAGCCCCTCACAGCAAAGCCCTGGGGACTCTCCCACCAAGGACACCCCCCCCAGTAAACAGCGTGCTGTTGTGCTGGTATAGTGTCTACAGGATCCAGCTAAAAAAGGAGGTGTGGCAGGCCATGGCATTTGTTGACAAGGACAGTCTGAAGTGATGGACTGAGAAGATGCCAACTCTCCACTCCTAATGTATGAACTCACAGCCAAAAACTAAAAGAAATAAATAAAATCCCGGCAAGCTCGTGAGTTTGCCATACCTCTGAGATCAGATCCTGAATTTCAAGGGAGAAGTAACTTGCTCCCAAGCTGAGCCGTGGGAGGGCAGTCCATGAGGGCAGGCCTGGCCTCAGAGCCCTGAGCCCTGCCCAGAAGCGGCCTGGCCCCAGAGCTGTGGGCCAAGGGCCCTTCCCCCCACTCACCTCTTCTACTCTTTCCCTGAAAAGACCCAATTATGCAAAGCTGTTTGTGCCCCTCCAGTGGGATGCAAGGCGGGTGAGACAGTTGTTCTGGGTCAGAGTTAGGGGTTAAAGTGGGAGATTACAAAGGGGCAGTGACTATATCTGAGGTCCACCAAGTACAAATCTGCTTCTTTTAGGCTAGAAGGGAAGCTTGTGCTTCCTGCCTGCCTGGCCTTGCCCTTGTGTTTCTGGGAAAGGGAAGGTGTCAGGGTCGGGGTGCAGCTTCACAAATGGCACGTGATGGCCAGGAGTCCTGCGGTCAGTGCCTCCTGACACCAGAGCCACGTGCTACTAGAGGCTGGAGAGAGGAGACATACCTGCTATCAGCCCAGGACCCATTCTGGCTCCCGGCTCACTCTATCCCCACAGAGAGCCAAGGACAAACACACAAGGAGTGGAACCACCCAGAGGGCCGATGTGGGCCAATCCCAAGGCACCAGCTAGGACCCAGAACCACGTGACTCTGCCAGCCACCCGTAGATGGGCTGAGTTAAACAGCTGTGAGATCATTAAAAGGCAGGTAGGAGAGGATTTGACACAAAGTGGCTCCATTCATCTGGACAAAACTACGCTGGCTGGGGAGGTGGAGCCAAGGGAGTAAGACAGAGAGCAAGCGTGAGAGCAAAACTGCGCGTGTGTCTCTGTGCGTGTATGTGTGTGAGAGAGTGCACACGTGTGCAAGTGTGTGCAAGCACTGTGACTGAGGCCTGGGGTAGGACTAGGTGAGGCTCTGGCTGCCCTGATTTCAGGCTGCTAAGGAAGGTTGGGCAATCCTACTTCCGTAGTGATACTGCCTCGGAAACCCAAGGAGGGGTCGCTATGAGTCGGGGCGACTCAACGGCAAACAACAACAACAACAACAAAGGTACCAGTGGGGGAGGGGGAGGAGAGGCACCAGTGCTCTGTGGAGCTGGGACCCAGCTTGGGGGGGTGACTGGGACCCAAGATGGTAGATAACTGGGAGAGGAAGAGATTCCCAGTTAGCAGAAATGGTAGCAGTAGGTCAACAGTGGGCAGACTTCCAGCTGGACAAACAGTAACAATCGGGTTGGGGACAGGACGACTGCAGCAGGTGAGGGCATCGGATGGCGGTAAGTGACTGCTGGCTTGCACTACTTTGTCAAAGTGCAAGAATTTGAACTGAAGACAGCGGCTGGGGCCCACGTGAGCCCTGGACCTCTAGCTTTTCCCTCTAGAGGGCGCTCTGACCTCACAGACTGGTTCGCTCCTCAAACCCAGGGTGGCAGTTTCCAGTGGGTTCGAGAGAAGGCCTGCACCCTGCGTGGAGCTGTGTAAGCATTCAGCGTTCCCAGAGAAGGGCTGCAGCTGCCTGCAAACTGCTGGCCAGGTGCCGGTCAGTGAAAAATGAAAAGGTCACTCAGTTTTCCTTCTCAGGGACTGTGAACCATCAGAGGGGAGGGAGCGGGAGCCTGTTGAGGTTGCTAGGCCCTGCCCTGGCGTCCCGCACGTGGCTGCTGTGGCTTGGACACCTTGATGAGTCCGAGGGGAACACAGCTGGCTCCTTGCCCACTGGTGCGGGCGCTCCTGGGGTATGATAAGAGCAGGGGCTTGGGCACTCCTGGTCTCAGGCTGGCGCTTGGTGGGCGCGCTCCAGGCCTCTCCTCTCTCAGCATCCTGGCCTGTGGGTGATGGTGCACTCTGGCTGCAGAAGCAAACGTTTTACCTGGGACGGGATCATCCCAATCTGCTGCTGACATCAGAGTCTGCATGGGGAGGAGCAGGGTGGACGCTTGCTTCGAGCACCCACTGGCCCCACAGGCCGGGCAGTCCTTGGGTAGGATGACTCTGAGGGCTAACTCCATCTGCTGTCTCACCTCTGCAGAGGCTGCTTCCGGGGGCCCTCGCTGGGTGTCCGTGGGCAGCAAACACCCGCCCCGGCAGCAGGAAGGCGTTGGAGGGCCGCCTAGGGGGTCAGAGCAGCTCCTGCTCGTCGTCCTCGGAGCCCGAGGGGCCCTGGCGCACCTCCTCGTACCACTTGTTGGTGAGGGTTTTCATCTGGATACGCCCGTGGTGGAGGTCCTGGGACGAGAGACACCATCAAGTGCTAGCCAGGCCTCAGTCAACTCCAGGGACGGGCAGGGAGGCTGCTTGTACTGTGTGTGTGTCAGGGGGTGTGTGGGGCGGTGTGAACGGCCACAGGCAATTCCAAGTGCCATCCAGCTGACAGTTTCCTTTGTTGGGGGGGGGGTGGTAACAGTAGGTATCATTCGGAAATGTGATGTTAGAAACGGTTCTAGAATGAGACACACGTGGGCTCCATCCCAGCTTGGCTGTGTGACCTTGGGTGAACTACTTACCCCTCTAGACTCAATCTCCCCAGCTGTCTAGTGAGCTCATAGCTGCCCTCTGCTGCATGGGTTGTTAGGGGAATGAAATGAAGCAGCCAGGGAACAGGCCAGCCCAGAGCCTGCTGGTAACAAGAACTACAGACTGAGAGCTGTCCCGGCCACCTCTGGAACAAGACAAGGGCGAGGCTGGACCAGCCCTCATCCCCAAGGCTGAGTGATCCCCACCGCATCTACATGGGGCAGGCTGAAGGTGTGAGCCAAGCAGACCCAAGCTTGTCCCTGTCCCCAAGAGGCCACTGTCACCCAGAGGCTAGCAGGGCCCAGCCTGGGCCATTGCCGGAGGCCTTGGCATGACTGAAAGGCCCACACAGACATGATTCCTCAGCTCAGATGCAGTAGCTGATCAATGTCCCGAGTCGATTACCCAGGAAAACCAAAGTGTGCCAACAAGTCTATCAGCAGCCGACCCTGAAGACGGCAGCAGAGGGAAACCACAGGTGCCGAATCCCTGCTGGGCCCTTCAAACGAAGGAAGGAGAGCCAGGCGGGCGGAGGGCCATGGGGCTGGGCCCATGCCAACACTGCCCGAGAGCCTTCCCACCCCAGATTGGCCCCTGCAGGTTTGAGCAGAGGCCAGAGGGCCGTGGCGTGAAGGGTGCAGGCCCGTGGGCCTTCGGAACCCACCTCCTGGGTCAGCCTCCGTGTGAAGAAGGGGTTCAGGTACTTGGCATCCAGCCACATGAAACCTTTGAGGTCCTGCCGCCGGATATAGTGGGCCTCGTACTCCTCCTCGGTGAGCTCTGACAAGTGCTCCGACTCAACAGTGTTGCCCTGCAGGACGGAAGGTGGTGGGAGGACCTCAGGAAGGTGCCTGGGACCCTGCCTGCCCCAGGCCTGGCCGGTGGGGCTTTCCCGGCCAGTGGCCCCAACCCTAGCCTCACTTTAGAATCCCGGAGGCTGCAGGCAGCAAAGGCCTGTCCCAGGAGCCTGCAGTGAGGTCAGAATTCTGGGAGGGGGCCTGGGGCTTGTTTTTGAAGCTCTTCCCGTGGTTCCAATGTGCAGACAGCATTGGGAAGGGCTGTTCTAGGTGATCTTATCACCAGCATTGTAACAAGGGACTTTTTTTTGCCTGTAGCTCAGTTAGCAATAGTTCTGGGCTGTGGGCAGGTATTTGCTGATCAAGGCTGTGCAGGGAAGCGGAGGGACGAGGAAATGACTGTCAGAGGAACGGGGCCGTCTGGAGGTGAAGTGTGGGCCCAGGGTCGGTGCAGAGCCATGCAGCGCTGCTCCAGGCCCAGCACTGCCCCCACCCCGCAGGGTCCAGGAGGCAGACGGCGATCTGAATGCAGGTGTGCTGCTCTGACTCAGAACGAGAGGCCTGGGTGCAGCAACGGGGCTCTCCTTGGGGCTTCTCGGGCAGTGGCAGGGCTGTGGCCGCTGGAAAGCAAGGCGGGAGGGCGGAGTGTCTGCACACCCTGGTCCTCCAGCTCCCCAGTCACCGGGAAGCCTCGTGGGGACAGACTGCTGGCCCCACCTGCACAGGCTGATTCAGTAGGTCTGGGGTGGGCCTGCAAATCGGCATTTCTGACAAGTTTGCAGGTGACGCCCTCGGTCCAGAGGCCTCACTCTGGGAACCACTGATTCAGTGCGGTGGTGCCGGGCCCTGCAGTCTAACTCGGCTCTGACACCGGACGGCCCTGGATTTGGCCTCTCTGGGCCTCGGTGCTCTGGTCTGCAAAATGGGGATAATGAGAACATGTGCTTCCTGTAGGTCATGAGGATGAGGTTAGACAGTCCGAGTGGCTGCAGCCCAAGGGACAGCCGACAGAGAGCAGCGACTCTTGTTCTGAGGAGACAGCCTGGTGTGACTGGAGCCATGCTCTGCCAAGCGTGGTTGGGGGATGGGCAGCGGCGGCAGCAGTTGGTAACTCGTTAGAAACAGAATCCTTTGGGAGGCCGCCCACACCTACGGGGCGCGCTGGCGGTGGCCTCAAGGTCTGTTCAACAAGCCCCCACCGATGCCGACGCTGACACACGCTACAAGGCTTGAGGACCCGTTTGCTGCAACTTTTGTTACAAATAAACAGGAAAGTTGGTGGGTGGGGTGTGGGGAGCCGCTGAGAGTGAGAAAGTTCTGCCTGGAGGGCGACCCAACGGCCCCCTTCCCGCACTGCATTGCCAGGAAGGCCCAGGAGGGCGAGTGGGGTCCAAGGCCAGTCCGGAGCCCAGCTCTGTCAGAAGTGGCCCTCGCCTCCTCTCTCAGCCTCTCCTGCCTCAGGAATTCTGTGCGTTCAATTACAGCTCAAAGCTACCAAGGGCTGAATGAAGAGAGCAGCATTTCTGAGAATGCACAGGGTGTATGGTGTGTGTGTGTGTGTGTGTGTGTGTGTGTGCGCGCGCGCGCGCGTGTGCCACGTGCAGGAACGTGAAACCCTGGCTCAGCGTGGGGGCCTGAGGGTGCAAGGTGGCAGGGGGGCAGCCTCAGGGCAGGAGGGCGGCCTGGAGGAAGCAGAAGCGGGCCAGGCTACAGAATCTCAGCCTCCACGGCAGCTGGACCCTGAGCACCTCCCAGCCTGCATTAGGCCCTTGCCTGTCCTCGGTGGAAGGCGCCGTTCAGGGCCCTGACAGCCACTGCAAGCCACCATCCCCTCAGGCTGGGGCCTGCCTGCATCCTGACACCTCCCAGTCGTGGGGCCCGATGGGTGGTGTGGCTTCCGGCAGGGGAAACCTCTGATCTGCCCCTCGTAGCCCATGGCGCCCGTGCAGGTGCAGAGCGGGAAGCGTCTGGAGCAGCCCAGGGCCTGCCTAGCTCCAGGTCAAGAGGCTGTGCACCACACCCAGAAGCCACGCTTCCCAGCTCACTCCTTTGCCTCCTCCCAGGTCAGGCACTGGCGCGCGCGTGCGCGCGCATGCGCATGTGTGGAGTGCGGGGACCCTGACAGCATCGCTCCCCTCCCCCCATTTCCTCACCCCCACCCCCCCGCCCCCAGGCCCTGCCCCACTCACCATCTTCTCCGTCTTACTGAGGTTGACGTCCTTCTTGTTCCTGCGGCGCACCTTGGCGTCCTCTATGTCCATGAGGCGGATGAGGGGCATGGTGCTGCCGCCCAGCAGCAGGATGGTGAAGAGGACGATGATGATGGTGGTGGTGCCAATGAGCTGCCGCTTCTCCATGGGCTCCAGGTCCAGGTGCAGGCTCAGGGCGTAGGGGATGGCCCCCCGCAGGCCTGCGGGCACACAGGCAGCAGCGGCTGCATCACCGGCCGGCCTCGACCTGGGCCCTGCCCATCACGGTGGTTGGAACATCCCCTCCCCCCAGCGCCTCGACCCAGAGGCATGACTGAGTGGGGTGCAGAGAAGTGAGGGTCCCTGAGTAGATCCAATGAGGTGCCCGGGCCAGGCTACAAAGCTCGAGTGTGTATGTGCATGCATAAAGGTTCACCAAGGCCAGCACCAACGTTTCAGGAACAGGGTGCAGTCCTATGTGCAGGCACCATGCTGAATGCTTACAGGCAAAGCGCATTTGCCCTTCACAGGAAATCTGCCCAGCAGGTCTGACGTTCTCCACAGTCCACAGGCCGAGAGAATCAAGTACCTGTCGGGGCCACGCAGCTCACCCAGGTAACAGCACAGGTGGCTGTGGCTTCTCCTGGCCCCCGCAGCCCTGGGTGTGCTCTGGTGGGGAGCACGGCTGCTGGAAACCCTGCCACCACCTCTCACTAACTCCCTTTTTGGCCCCCTACAAAGCTGCTGCTGGATTTAGGGGTACGGGCCGTAGCTGAAGCAGCATTTCCTCTGGGAGACTCTCTGGGAGCCACGTGGAGGGGGACAGGGCAGTCCTGGCTCTGCCCTCACGGCACTCCCTGAGCAGCTGAGAGGAGAGACACTGTGTAAGTGCTGTGTCCAGAAAGGCCGGACTGGGGGGAGGGCCACAGTCTACAGTGACAGGCCCTGACCCGACACCCAGACATCAGGAAGGAGTGGGGGCAGGTAGGAGAGTCGGCATTCCAATCAGGAAGTGTCCACAGCAGCCAAGAGCAGGAAGGCCGGTGGCATGCTGTGCTGTGTGACAGATGGGGGGTGGGGTCTGACAAGGCAGGGCCTGTGATCGAAAGGTCCCTGGGCCATGTCCTAAGGGCACTAGGAGGCAAGGAAGTAAGATGACAGGTATGTCCTGTGGAAGGGGAATCCCATTACGGAAGCAGGCTGGGCAGGAAGGTCAGCTGTTTTAGACAATGACAGTGAGATCCCAGTGTCTCCACTTTTTTGAGATTTTCAACCACTTCAAAGGATCAACCACTTCACAAGAACACAGGAAAAAAGCAATTTAGGCACTGGTTTAAAGAAAAAAAAAAAGGAAAACAAAATGTTTTCCTCACAGGCAAAAACAATTGAGGAATACAGAGCTTCTCTCACTACACACACATTTTTTTTTTTCCCTCCAAACAAAGCCTTTTGAGGGAAGAGAATCTGAGAGAAACGCACAGATCTGCTGCTGGACAGAGAAGAGCCCCGTAAAGCGTGTCCTGCTCCCCGGCCACATGGCACTGCTCTGATTATAATATTTAAACAAGAAAGCCGGGGGAACTTTAGACAGCGCTGTCTGCTCAGAAGCAAACTGAAAGACGCGCGCAAATCCAGTTCCTTAGGAGTCTAACGTACAGGAAATGACTTCCACCCTTTGCAAAGCAGAGACCGGAGCTGAAACTGTCACCTGAGGAACCAGGTGTCGCCTTTAAGGTACCAGGAGTTCGTGACTGAATGAAAAGATGTCCACATGTAGCCTGTAATGCAAAAAGTCCACAGTCTCACCTGCTGTGTTCTGAGCAGACAGGTCAGAGCGAGTCCTTCGAGTCTCAGGCCAAGGAGAGCGTCACATGCACTAAGCGAGGCTTTTTCCCTCTTGGGGCCCAAATGGCCTCATCTGTACAAGAGGCCTGGTACCGCCCACTTACAGCAGTGCTGGGAGAGGGACTATCTGCCAAGTGGCCAGTTTAAGGCCTGCTTTACAGTCACCAAACCAAACCCACTGCCGTCAAGTAGATTCTCACTCAGCCACCCTCCAGCACAGGACAGAACTGCCCCACAGGGTTTCCAGGGCTATCAATCTTTATGGAAGCAAAGCCCAAAGCAAACCCACTGCTGCCCCAAGAGGAGAGAGTACAACTGCCCTACAGGGTTTCCAAGGCTGTAATCTTTACAGAGGGAGCTCTGGTGATGTAGTGCCTAGGGCATATGACTGCTAACCGGAAGGCTGGGAGTTCAAACCCCCCAGCCACTCCTCGGAAGGAAGACCGGACAATCCACTTCCGTAGTGATACCGCCTCGGAAAGCCCGGAGGGGTCGCTGTGAGCTGGAACCAGCTCAACAGCAGTGAGTTTGGGTTTTTCTTTTTTAAAAATCTTTATAGAAGCTGACTACCACATTTTCCCCTCTCAGTGGCTGATGGGTTTGAACCACTGACCTTCTGCTGCCCAGCTGAGCACTTTCACCACTGTGCCACCAAGGCTCCTCTGATTTATAGTGGGTGCCGGTTAAATAGGAGCATTCACGATTTCTGGTTTATGAGACAATTCGTTTTCAAAGGGCTCCAGCACCTCGATGACAGATATAGTCAAGATTCGACTCTGACTTACCACTGAACCACATGATGAACATCATCTTTGGTGTGATTTTATGATCCCGGAAGAAGTTCAGCAGGTACGAAAGGGGGAAGATGTTCACTGCTCTGCCGAACAGCACGAGCACCTGTGAACAGCAACACACCACGTCTCAGACGGAAGCTCTGGCTGTTCACGCTGCAGCCTGTTGCTGGGGACACACAGCTCAGACACGCCCACGCGAAGTGCAGCCTTCTCCTGGCCACAGCCCAGGTGAACAGCACAGCGCTAGTCGGACTGGGCCTGGGGGCCTGTGGGTGCCGTTTCTACGCGTCTGGGAAAAGACAAAGCTTTGCTCATGAAGTTTCAGTAGTCGGCACAGAGGCCCGACAGGCAAGGGCCGACTGCTCAGTACACAAGGCAAGCACGGGCTTACTTCCGCTTCTTTGCGTAGTGAACAATTTCACCTCTTTGATGGAGTGAAAAACGTGAGACTGTTCACTACAGATTAGTAAGGAAGCAGAAGTAAGCCTGTGCTTACCTTGCTCCCTGGACACTCTGCCCCTGTCAGGGATGGTAAATTTGAAAAGAAGTTTTGATTCTCGGGGAAGGTGCTGTGTGGGAGACAGATGCTAGCCACACACTGCAACAGAATCTTTGCTGTGTGAAAAAAGACGAAACTGTTCACTACGGATTAGGAAGTAAGCACAAGCAAGCCTGTGCTTACCCTGCTTAGTGGGTAGTCTGACACTGCTCACAGGGTATAGTGGCTTCTTTGGTAACGACAGTGGATGGAACAAAGCCAAATGCCAAGAGGGCATGCGGACAGCTCCAGGGCTTAACTGAAGGGCACACCTGCCTTCTCCGAAGGCGCCTGGCCACGGGACGCCTGTGTTCACCCTCCTCACTGTGCCAGCTCCGGAGGGACAGACAGAGTGTTTCTGCCTCTCCCAGGGGGCCCACTCCTCAGGGAGAGCAGGGAGACTGAGAAGAGACGACTTGTGCCTTCAGTCAGCGCCGCTCTCCAAGCAGAAGGACCCAGCACCGGGGGAGGGGCCCTAAAAGGCGCCCCTCGCCCCCTGCCTTGCCAGTTGTTGGTCTTGGCTTTTGGTGCCTGTTATGGACTAAATTATGTCCCCCAATATCTGTAACCTGTGGTTATAGCCCCACTTGGTAACGGGTTTTCTTTTTATGCTAAGAGCTATATCAGTGGGGGTGCCGTATCTCAGCTACAGACCGCAGGCAGGGAGGAGGGAAGATGCATGCCTGGGAGGACTGTGGGGACAGAAGCTGGAAGGAGACAGGGCCCTTCCTCCAGAGCCCACAGAGACAGTGTCCTCCCCGAGAGCTGGCTCCCTGAATTTGGCCTTCGAGCCTTCTAAATGGCGAGAAAACAAATTTGTTTGTTAAAATCATCCACTTGTGGCACTTTGGTTGCAGTAGTGCTACCTTGGTAACTAAAACGCAACAAAGTGCCCGACCACAGCAAAGGCACGGTGGTCCGTACAAAAACTGGCTTTAAACGCACTGCCGTTGAGTCGGACCCGACTCATAGTGACACCTCCTTGGGTTTCTGAGGCAGTATCACTACGGAAGTAGATTGCCCAACCTTCCTTCCGAGGAGTGGCTGGTGGCTTTGAACCGCCAGCCTTCTGGTTAG